CTGTAAATAATTGACAGATAATATTAATTGGCTTTGGATTAGTGAGCAAGCAGAGAATCACACATTAATATTTGATCAGAAGATGATAGCAACCCTGGCAGGGGATCCAAGGAGGGCAGCTGAGGCTGCTATGTTGATAAGAGCAGGGAAGGACTTTTCAAGGCTCTCCCTTTACCCTCCTCCAGAAAGATAAAAATTGTATATAAAACATACACACAGAAAACACATGAAACCATAAATATCTGTGTGTACATATGCATGCATATACACCCACAAATCTGTATGTAAAAATATATTTATACACAAATTATTTTAGAAGAGATGCCCTGGTGCTACACTGAACTTTGGGCTGTTACCTTGTGCAATATCTTCCTGGCTGCAATTTGCTAACTAGGCTTGTCACCAGAAAATGGTGACCACATGCACTTAGATTTTGTTTGTAATCAGATAACTAGTTTCTCCAGCTACAGACACTGCATTGATTAACCTCTGCAGATGTTTTCAGTGATACGAGATTACAAATCTCTCAAAACTACTTTATATTGATGTTATTTTATTAATGTTATATTAATATTAATGCTTCCTAGAAAACAAAAAATATTTATCCAGAATTTGAAAGAGGTAATTAATGTAGCCCTGGAACCTCTAATGCTTCAGATTAGCAAGCATTCAAGACTGATGCAACATCCTTCTTCCTCTGGCTTGTCAGAATAAATAACATGGTAGTATTCCTTGAATTTAATTAGAGATGTTCATAAAACAACAAAATATCATGATTGAAATTATTTATATGACAATCTATTTGAAATAGAACTCTTCAAAGCCATACATTTTTCAAAGGAACATGGCTGAGAAGAACAGATTCTATTCTACAAAGAATTTTTTTAATTACAAAAACCAAAAAACAAACCACACAACAATTGCACAAGAGTTAAGAATAAAGGGAAAGGCATAGAAAAAAACCAGCTGGTGTCCTGCAAGGTTTCTACCCATTGCGCAATCGGATGGGTTGTGTTGTAGGCCCTCACTGGATACTCTGTTACCAGATTCTTGACTCTCTGTCCAGTTTCCACAAATTTTGATTATTAGGCAGGGAGCGACATCGCACACCCAACCTCTGCTGCTCACTTATTGCCATGCTGCATTTTCACTGAGGCTTGAGGGGAAGAGTCGCTGGCAGGGCACGTGCACCATACACCCTTGTTTCAGAATAGCCCCACCCTACCGTTGTCATTGGCAAAGTTTACTTTAGTAATAAATCAGTTGATTGGTGATTCAATTGCTAGCAGATGCAAACTCTTTATTAGGGTGTACTGGTTTTACATTAGAAATACAGCAAGACTGTACATTAATAAACTTCCTAGCTTAACTTTTTCCAGACAATCAGATGCTTCATTTTAACACTTCACCATTACACACATACAGTTACATACCTAACACATCAAACTTTACATGTGCGTGTGAGCAAACCCTTCTACGTTAACACCAATAGAAAGCAAGGGATCACATTTTAAAGCCTTAGCTTGAAAATTCTTACATCTATATGCAGATAAGTGTACGAGGCTAAGTGCCCAAACATGCAAACAAATGGGAACAGCTGAGCTGGCACGAGCAGTCCGTCATACGCACGTAACGATTAACAGGACAGTCCAGTTCACGTTTCACCAAAACAAGCACAGTATCAGTGGTGAGATGGAACTATGCAACATATATTATAATGCATATTCTTAAATATTTTAAAAACTAATTATTTGAGGCTAGACAATTCAATGAAAGAAATAAATTTGTAAATCCAAGTACATAATATCACTTAAGAAGTCTGTAACAGTGCCTGGAACATGATAGTGACATCCCTCCCCCATTGATTCGTTGCTCTCAAACTTAATATAAATAGATATACACATACCAACACACAGAACATTTTATCATTTACCATTGTTTACAGAAATGAGGAATAAAATTGGGACATAAATTCATAGTTTGTTTGCTCTAAACACATTCCTCCACAGATCGTCATCCACATTTTCCATTCTCTAAAAATACAACAAAACAGATTAGTCATACAAAGTAAGCGTGTGTGTGTAAGCATGTATTTCTCCTGTTTTCTTAGCATCTTGAAAGTCCTTCTGTGTTTCAGGAGCTCACTGGCATGGGGGAAGGCCTATAGGAACCTGCTTGCCAGCATTTATGTAAGCTCTGAAAGCTCCTAGCAAGATCACCATCCTGAAGACAGAGGTGCATTGTGCACCCCTCTGCGAGATACTGCGATTCGCTCATAAGCACTGGTAGCTGAAAGTTATCATGGGCAAATAAATACGTGCTGGTGCATGTACCAGAAGATTTCCATTCTCTCATCTCTTCCAACGACCACCACATTTTGTGCATCAGTTGACTAGACTACACACTGAACAGGATTTGGCAAAAGTTTTGATGGTGACTTATTCACAGCCATCTACATGATTAGAGGCCCCACCTGAGTCAGTTTCCACAGGTTCAAGGTGAACGTGTTCTCAAAGCATGCAGTCTACAATTACATTTTTATCTGACAAATTAATCTCACAGTGCTATGATACATTCATAAGCTGGTTTAATATAAATAAAAATTCCTATGTTAATCAACTGTATACATTATAAGAAATTTAATTTCATCCACAATGCATGAAATTAACTTAATTTCTCATCCACCAATTTCAATGGCAGTAACAGCAATATTTACTTAGCTGGAGGAGCAAAGCACCTTGTGGAATTGCACCAGGTGTCCCATGCCTGTTAAGACAGTGGGATATTTAGTTTGTATACAGTCTGCTTTTGATGCCACATCTTGTAACAGCATCAGAATGGCTGATCCATCTAACCCGGAACCCTACAGTTAGGAAAACCATCTCTAAATTATGCCTGGCAGCCACACACGTGCACATCCTCATGTTTTTACAAGTACTTTATAATTAGCATTGCGTCAGCTCCATCACTTTAGCTTTTAAATGGTCTGGCAATATTTATTAAACTTTCAGTATCTCTATTTGGAAAACAGTACACAACGGAAAAAGCAACCACATGATATCACATCTTACTATAGCTTTCACCCCTTTATCCATTTTTCCTTGTTAATCTACAGTTCATTTGAAAGGTGTTTTTAATTATGCTTACTTACATACACAATAAAATTATATTTAAATTCTACGTGGTCATTACATGAAGTTCCACGAAGCCAGAGCATCCTCATGAAACCAAGAGGATTTACCTAAATACATACATTTAGATAGTGGCTGTCAAGACACCTGACTTTATGAACTACAAACATCTACAAACCAAACATTTCTATTACTCAGTATGGCCAGGCTCTCCACTGAAAGGCTAAGCACAAGGCACCTAATTATCACAGTGGACACAATATCCAAATGGTCATACAAACGGAGGAATACAGGAGGGTAGCTCGAACAAGCATTCAGGATTCAGCTTTAACCAGCACTAGTATCAGTAACATATGCTTTAGCGTTCATGTGAAATACTTGGAAAAGACATGAACATAACTGACTGTCAACTCTGCCTATAAAACTGAAGTAACTCAAAAACTTCAAACACTTTTACTAAGGGTAATTTGTTCTGCACACTGCATGCAAACAGAATTTGGTGTAGCTCCACTGTATCTCCAGACAGTCGGAAAACCCTTTGCAGCTCAAGACACCATCAACGCTTTTATTCTAGGTACTTAACAGGCTTTCTAATGAAATGATGCTCAACTATTTTTCTACTTTAATACTCCATAGGCAAAGTAAACACACGTAAAATACTTTTGTTCAAGTTCAGGAGGGTGGAATCTATTTGCTGACATCAGAACAAGGGAAGAGACAGACTGAAGTCCTAACCAACCTCTTACATAGTTACAGCAAAGCACAGAGCTTGAAGATTTCCAGTGCACCAGTCATTTATAAAGTTATAAAGCATTAAAAGCTCAGCTGCAGTAGCAAAAGGACACATTGCAAAACTATGAACAAAGTGCAAGTTAACAACAGAAAGAAAAAAGGCACATGAATTGTGGAGCTGCTTCTCAAACTTTTCCTGAAACCCAAAACATGAACTCAAGTTGTGCTACAGGTTAAACCTGTATGCTGATGGCAACTTAATATCTCCTGTTTATCTTTCATTACATCTGGTTTTGTAGTTTCAGTTCACAAAAGACGACAAGATCCACACAGCTTCTGCCTAAAGCAAGTGCTGACGAACTTCTCTGGAAAATGACCCTATGTTAGTATTAACAGCATGCTGAAATACAGCACCAGAAATCGTAAGTTACAAGTGTGAAGCATGAAGCATACAAACAATATCCTTCTGAATAGAGCTAAAATACACCATCTTATCTGCAATCTCCCATTCTTGTATGGGTGCAAGTGCAATGAAATACATATACGTCACAAATTTTAATTAAACCTGTTGGTACAAAGAAAAAAGTCAATTTTAATCCTAATGTTTACACTCAAGTTCAAAAAGCTTTTAAACCAATGGCGTGTCATATGAATGTCCTAAGATTCACGAGTGACTTCACTGAAGTCCATGCAGGTTCACTTACCAACCTGATGCCCATCATTGCAAGCCCTCTTCCCAGAGGGCACAGCTCCATACAAGCAGCTGCCGCCCATAAAATCTAGGTTAGCCAGAGACCTGGAGATCCGCAAGCCCTCATTACTGACAACAGACAGACTGTTCTAGGGAGGACCAGCTAGGAAAAACCCATACGAAATGGATCACATGGTTGTTTTTGAAGCAGTTTCCTTTGCAACTGTTTTAAGAGGTGCTTTTGAGGGAAACTACTGAATCAATTCTCACATGAACAATATGTGAAGTTTTTCTAACTGAACATATTTTTATTTTGAAAAGGGGTAAGAAAAGACAATGCTATTTCTCAGTGAGAGAAGAGTAAAACTTCTCTGCACTGACACAGAAACATTTTAATTCCTTGCCATGCACTTACAGAGTGCCAAACAGCACACACCATCGATTCC